TGTGTGTGTGTGTGTGTGTGTGTGTCCTTAGTAGAGGCCTTTAACTTAGCTTCCCTCTGTCTGTGGAAGGGGGCGATAACATGTCCCTGGGGGTGGTCTTGGGCTTAACCTTTAAAAGCACCCTCTCCGGGCCCCCAATGGACGGGGCTCTCTTATGGAGGGTCCTGCCAGCACACAGACAATAACTGGCTCGGGCCCTCGGCTGACCCTCCTCCAGGCCCCCAGCTCCTGGCCCCCTCCCACGTCTGCCCTTCACTGGGCTCGGCTGCCTGGTGGCCGCTGCTGGGTGCCCCCAGCTCCGCAGCCCTCTCTGGGCTGCTCCTGGCCCGAGGCTGGCTGTGGCCCCCGCCCTGCCCGGCGTGCCAGGGGGCCGCGTGGCCGGCATACCATGAGGGCGTCGATGAGCTCGTCGTCATGCCTGCCCTTCTCCACCAGGGTGCCCATCTGACTCCGCAGGGTCTTCACCTCGCTGGCCAGCACCTTGTTCCGGGACCTCACCGCCTCGGCCTTCTTCTTCTGCTCCTCCAGCTCACGCTGAAGTGCGTCCCGCTCACTTGCCAGCTTCTGTACCCAGAGAAGCAGTCACCGCACAGCGGGGCTCAGTGGGGCCTCAGCCACGTCTGCCTTCCACCCCGCCCCGCCATGCTCTCAGTCGCTGGTGGGGCCCAGAGACAGGAGGGGCACTTGCTGGCATCACAGAGAAGGTCAGAAGACTGTCAGCATAGGACCCCTCAGCCCGGGGACACTCAGAGATGCCAGGTGGCCTGCAGCCTCCCTCCCTGCCCTCGCCCACAGCAGGCATCGCTAATGGATGGCGGCACTCCTTTCTGCAGACCCAGCACACAGGCTTCCAGGCAGCTGCCCCCTGCCCTGAAAGGAAACCTGTGGGCCCCAGAGAGCACGGCTGCCCCCACCCTCCATCCCTCCCGAGCCAGGGAAGGAAAAGCCACCCGCCTATGATGGGCATGGAGTCTTGGGTTTCAGCTGAGGCATGGTACCACACTCCGCGGACCGCTAGGATGGGCCGCAGGCCCCTGCCTGCTCCATTCTCTTTCCCACCCCCTCCACACAGGCCCTGGGCACCACCCAGCTCTGGACGGCAATGCACTGCAGACTGCGTGTGCTGCCCAGGCCTCTGGGGCTCTCTCTACCCTGTCCCCGTGTCCCCAGGGCTCCCTGTCAGGGACGTCCCCCCAGGACGCAGACCCGCCTTACCTCCCAACTCTCCTGTTTCTCCCGTTCCAGGACTCGGAGCCGCAGCAAGTGTTTCTCCTGTGCTGACAGCTTCCTTGGGTCGGAGTGGACGGCGGGCAGGTCATCTCTGGCCGTCCCCGCGGACTGGCTCCGGGCCTCTCCCAGCTGCTTCTCCAGATCTCGAACCTGAGGGTGGTGCGTCCCATCCCGCAGCCAGTCACAACTTGCCTACACAGGGCTGCCCTGAGCTGAGGGGAGATCCCACTAGACTGGGAATCAAGCCCTGGGGTTTTGTGCAAAACCAGGAGGACATCAGAGAGATGGGGGTCAGGCTTAGCAGAGTGAGATTTCAAGGTCAAATAAAACAAACTCACTGCCACCTGGTTGATGTGGACTCAGTGACCCTTCAGGACAGGGGAGAACTGCCCCTGTGGGTTTCTGAGGTTGTCACTCTATCCTGGAGCTGAAAGCCTCCTCTTTCTCCCTTGGAGCAGCTGGTGGTTTTGAACCAAGGACCTGGGGTCAGCAGCCCACTTGTAACCCACATCACCAGGCCTCGAGGTAGATGAGGATCTCTGAAGGGCTGTTTGAGACCAGGAATCAGAGGCGTGGCCCCTGGGAATCTGGGCGGGGGTGGCGGGAGGTCAGTACCAGGACCTCCGTAGCCTAGGTCGGCTGGCTTATGGGGGGCAGTAGGCTCCTGGTCACTGGACGGAGGTGCCAACAAAGAGGGAAGGATCTGGAAGCTGAGAGACGGCCTCAAAGCCTCCCTCGGCCAGGTGGCTGGGCACGTCTCTGAATCTCGGTTCTCTCAGGTGTCGAATGTGCCCAAGGGTTACGCGCTCGGCAAGGCTGTGGTGGGGATCCTGTGAGTTCAGGCAGGCACCCCTGAATCTGCCTGTGTCTGGGAACCCCGTGTAATACTTCTAAGATGATGGTGGTGGCTGTTGGTGGCTGCCCGGGGCAAACCCACCGGAGACCTGGGGGAAGGGCACAGCCAGCTGTTTTTCTGGAAAGCTCTCGCCTGACTGCCATCGGGCCCACTCTGACTTGTGGGCGCCCTGTAGGACAGGACAGAGCTGTCCCTTTGGGTTTCCAAGACGTGTGCCTCTCCACAGGAGCAGTCAGCCCCATCCTCCTCCCGAGGAGTGGCTGGTGGGTTTGGACAATGGACCTGCGGTCAGTGGCCCGGTGTCTAATACACCCTCAGGATTGTGTTTGGGATTAGGTAACTTGTGCAAGGCTGGGCCCACGTGTGGGCGCGTGGTGGGTAAATTCTCTCCAGTCCCCCTGGGCCTGCAAAGAAGGCAAGGCCGGCCAGTGTCCCTCGGCAGCAAAGGCCGCCGCATTGCTGGGAAAGCAGGCACCAGTGCCCTCGTGTGGTAACTCCACTGAAGCTCTCGTTCAAAGCCAAGTTCACCTCCACTGTAGGAGTGTGTGGCAGGTATATCATCTGGCTACAGCTTGAGACTATGAAGAGCAAAGGGGTGGAGTCTAGCCTGTCAATCAGGTCGCAGCTTGATGACCTCATTTGGAGGTGCTAAGGAGATAAATAGCTTGCTGGAGACCAGATACACTCTCTGCTTCATCTTCCTGCTGACAAGCCATATGGAGCTACGCTGATGGAGCCAGAGTCCTGGAGCTAGAGAAGCCACGTGGAGACCCATGCCAGCACTGAGATATTTCCACCGCCATTGGATTCACAAGACTTTTCATCCACTGGCCTGTGATCTTCCTGCCGTGGGCATCATTGCATGTATTACGTGAGTCTGAAGAGGAATTTACAGACTGGTATTGAACATAGGCGCTAATATCAGACTTATGGACCTGATCTGGACGGGGCTGGGATGTTTTCTTAATATACAATGACTCTTTGATATAAAGTTCTCTATTACACATGTATGAGTTTCTGGATTTGTTTCTCTTGTCTACCAGGACTCACACAGACAGGCTCCAACTGCCCGAGCGGGTTTCTGAGACTGACATTTTACAGGAGTAGAAAGCCTCATCTTTCTTCTGCAGGTAGGGCAGTGGTTTCGAACTGCTGACCTTGTGGGCCTCGCAGCCCGACGTACAATCCACTACACATCGGGGTCCCTTGAAGCATGGAGGGACACGAGATTTTAGTGATTTGGTTCTACACCATGACAGCAGTAACAATAATAGTTAATGTCCTGAGGGCTTACGATGGCTGGGTCTTTTCCGCATATTACTGCCCTTCATGTCCCAACAGTCCTCGGAGCAAGGCATTTCCACCTCTGTTCTACAGGAGAGGAAACTGAGGCACGGAACGATGAGGTCCTCCGCCCCGGGGCACAGGGCTTGTGAACCGCGGCAGAGGCCAGATTTGGACTTGGGATCCATCAGTCTTTTGGAGTTTCCCCACCCCTTCCGTGGCCCTGCAGAACCCCACGGGGCACACAAGCAGCCTGGGAACTGAAAGTGACATAAGGCCCCGGGGATGCAGGGGACCCTCTTGGCAAATGGTGGGAGTCACACTCTCCTCATGCTTCTCAGATAGAAAGAAATAAAGGGAAAAAATCACAGCAGACCTACATCACCAAGCACCTGGCACTGATTGACCCTCTCGGTCCTCCTGACCGCACCTCCCTGTGAGCTGCTACACAGAGGGGAGCACCGAGGTCCAGGGAGATGCATCTGCTCGCCCTGCGCCCCACAGCGGCCAGGCTGCACGCTGGGGTCTGAGGGGTCTGAGCCAAACCGCCTAGCTCCCTGCGGGCTCCCAGAGGTCCGGACCATAGAGAAGACGTGGCTACGGCTTTTTATGGAGTCGAGAGGACTTTCCAGCAACAAGGAGCATCTGGAGCGACTTGTTTGGGAGACGTCTCCAATTAGGACAGTCACACACGGTCTCTGAGCGCGAGC